GTGTGTGTGTGTGTGTGTGTGTGTGTGTGTATGTGCAGGGTCTCACTACCCAGCTTGGACTCATAGTGATCCTGACTCCTGATTTCTAACTCCCTAGTGCTGGGCTTACAGGTGTACACCACCACGTCCAGACTCCATCCCCAGCTCAGCATGCCCAGGGGTGGGGCTGGCTTGGCATTCAATGCCAGGGATCGAATCCTGGCCTCTGGACTTAAAGTGCTTAGTCCACTGAGTCATACCACCGGCCCTATGCATTCTTTAAAAAATAAAAAAAGTCTCTGCTTTCCAGGACTTAAGGCTACTTAGCAATAGTTTACTATGTGTATCTCTCAGAACAGCACCAGCTACATGAAATATTTGCAAGGATTTTTTGATTGAAATCTCGACCACGCCAGAACTGGAAACATTTATGATAAAGCTTCAGTCTGACTTGGTGGACTGAAGTTCAAAAGGCCTGAGTCTGAGCGCCAGCCTTGGCACTTATTAACTGTGTGGCCCTGGGCAGGGCGCTGGGAGCAACAGTTTCCCATAAAAGCAAGCTGATTGTGGGGCTCAGCAGGGCCCTGCGGATTAAGCTGCTTGTCAAAAGCAAATGGCCTGACACAGTCAATGGCTGCCATTGCATTTAATAAATATTTTTGTTAAAGTAAACTTAAAATTTGTCATTTCATTTCATTTCTATTTTCTCTTCTACATGCATCAGAAACAGATTTCCAAATTCCCTTGGAGATTAGATATTTTCTGATAGTAGGAAGTTGCTAGGCATTATATTAACCAAGCCTTTTTTCTTCTTTGGTAATTATCTAGATTAGAGAACCAATAATGAGCAAATGGAGCTCTTTTTCTTTTTTTTTTCTGTATTTTAAGGAAGGGTTCACAGGCTGTTCAGGGTCTCACTACTAGATCAGACTCGTAGTGATTCTCCTGTTTACTCATAGTACTTGAATTCTCCCAAGTGCTGGGATTACAGGCATGCACCACCATGCCCAGTCTCCATTGCCATCTCAGTGTGTCCCGGGGGCAGAGGAAAGGGGTGTGCTGGCATGGTAGGCCTGGGGATTGAACCCCCAACCACTGCGCCTGCTTGCAGGCACTTTAATCTGCTGAGCTATTTGACCAGCCCTGCTATTCTTAGTTTTCGCAGGACTCAAGGGGAGGGAAGGCAGAAGGGAGGCTGTGGGAACTTGAGGTGCTAACACCTTATTCAGCCCCTGTGGCGATGGTGACCCTGGGGGCAGCAGGCAGATGCCATCTAAGGGTTCCTGCCTTGGCCCGAGTTCAGGGTCGGGATGTGAACCTTTGTGGCAGACCCGTAGTGCTGGCGAGCCGCCAGAACTGGCCTCCTGATGGCTATGGCCGAAAGGAAACCACGCACATCTCTCAGGTTGGAACTTTATTTCACCCAGGAACAGAGTGATAAAATGGCCTTCTTCTCTATTTAAGTGCCAAATGCTTCTTCCGGTCTCCACTCAGGCTGCTGGCAGTGGTTGTTGGAGGCTAATGTGCCAGGCGTGAAGACTCCGCCCTCTGGTCAAGGGACCCTGTTCGTGGTGGCCGGCTCTGCCCCTGCTTTTGGGGGCCAGGCTTTGTACTCGCAGGACTTTAGACGCCTCTGTAAGTACAGTAAAACTCTGTTAATGTTACATTAGTGTTGGATTTAAAACGAATGAAGCAGCCAGTTGACAAGGTGAGATTTTTCCCTTGGTATTATTGGGTTTTTATTTAAAGTGCCAACAATATTTGAAGTGAACTAAAAACTCAGAGCTTCAATGCATCAAATAAATTGAAATAGCAGTGACATTCACATCCACAGTAGGTAGCTGTTAAAAAGTCAGACCTTGATTCCCTAGGCTGAAATACAGTGTGGGTTATAAAATATACGCTTCATTGCACTAAGGCAATGAAAGAACATTAGTCTCTTTCATGATTTTAAGGTGACGTAAAGAGGAATTTCCTCATTACAATTTTCTAAAAAATGTATTTAGTACAGGGTCTGCAGGGTCTCACTATACAGATTGGACTCGTGATCCTCCTGTTTTCAGCCTCCCAAGCTCTGGGATTACAGGTGTGTGCCACCAAGCCCGGTCTTCCTCATTATAATTCTGAAGAAAGTTTTTATCACATATTTTCTTGTCAATTATATATATAAAAAGTTGCCTTAGTATGTCTGATTTTTTTTTTTTTTTTTTTTTTCCGGAACCAGGGATTGAACTCAGGCCCTTGCGCTTGCCAGGGAAGCACTTCTTCCACTGAGCCATCTCCCCGGCCTCTGTTTTTTGTTTTGTTTTGTTCTGAGACAATGATTGTATATGTAATTTAACATGGCTTTGAACTCACTAGGTAGCCTAGGCTGGCTTCAGACTCATCAAAGTCCTTCTGCCTCATCCTCCTGAGTGTTCCTATTACAGGTGTGTGCCTTCATACCCAGTGAAAGCCAGCTTTTCTATTACTTCCTGTGTTTTTCATCTTTATTATCCTTATCATTAAACTCAGGTCATCGGAAAACAAAGTATTATTCAATCTAACATCAAAAATAAACCAAAATCTCTTACTCGAAACCCTTGTTGCAAAGAACAGTTAATAAGTGCACAGAAATTATTGACTTGTGGGAAACACCCCTATTTAGATAAGGAATGACCGGAATCCACTGGCCAGGAGGGAGGGCCTCGCTGATGGACGTGGCCCGCTGTGGAAACAAAGTCAGGCTCATTTCTGCTTCCCTTCCCTGTGGCCAACTTGTCTTTCCTTCTTCTTAGTCATCATTGGTATCTGGAAGTTTTTCTATATTTTTATCCCATTAATAAATCCGGCACCCAGTCTTTTGACTTCTCTTATTTTCACACACACTTAGGGACCAGGTGCCACAGCTTATTGAGAATGGCAAGAATATTTCCATGAAAATTTACAACATGTATTTTTCTTTTCTTTCTTTCTTTCTTTCTTTCTTTCTTTCTTTCTTTTTTAACCGGGGATTGAACTCAGGCCCTTGCGCTTGCCAGGGAAGCACTTATTCCACTGAGCCATCTCCCTGGCCCTCTTTTTTTTTGTTTTGGTATCATGACTCAAACTCAGGACATTGCCCATACCAGGCAGGTGTTGTACCGCTGAACTGTGATCCTTGGCCTGACAGAACACATTTTAAGATACACATCAATGATCAGAGAAGCAAACTGCAGTGGGCCATGAGTTTGCCCAATTTCTATGCTAGTCTTCCTTCTGAGGAAGACTGAGAAAAGACTTAGCACTCAATTTTATGAAGTCCATAGAGACTGATGAGGCCTGGCATGGTGTCCCCTGCCTATAATCCAAGCTCTGGGTAGGCTGAGACAGGAGGATTGCTGGGAGTTTGAGGCCAGCGTGGGCTACAAAGTGACTTCAAGACCAGCGTGAAGTATGTAGTGAGATCCTATGTCAAAAACATTAAAAAAAAAAAACCCATACAGACAGACAGATTTAGGGCTTCCCTATTGGGCATCTCACCACTTCTCTCTAGGCTGTTTGAAGCTTCGTGGCTTTTGCTGCCATATGTCAGGATAGTTATGTTTAGACAATGAGGAAAGGGATGATGAAATGTTAGAAAAATACCATGGCCATGTAAGTTAATCAAGAGCATCCAAGAGATCAAAATCATGAAATTCAATCATTTGCAAGATGGGAGACTTTCTATCATCTGGCTTCCAGGGACGTCCAGGACATTTGGGGGAGGCTGTTTCTGGAAAATCAGGTATCACTTTGAAGGAAAGGCTATCAGGTTCTATCACGATATCTGGGATCCAGTCATCCTCGTTCTCTGTGGGAGCTGGTGGCGTGGTGGGCATCACAGTTGCAGTGAGATCTGAGTCCTGAAATCCAGAAACGGTAACTGCTACCCCTGGTCGGGCTAGGATAGGAGGGGGAGTCGGCCCTTCTGTCTTCTCTTCTATGTGCGGAGAGGATGTAGCACTATCTTGTGCAGAGCTTGCCGAGTGCTCTGTTCTCCAGTCACTGTGCTTTCCATTGCTTTTGGTTTTATTTTTATGCTTTCCAGGACCATGGCCAAGACCATGCTTATGCTTATCGTTATGTCCATGGTCAGGGCCATGCCCTCTTTGATGTTTAAGGTTAGAGTCAAGTTCAGGCTGATATCCATGACCAAGACCATGTTGCTGCTGGTGACCATGGCCAAGGCCATGTTGCTTTGGAGGTCCATGGCCTAGGCCATGCTTATATTTATGGCCATGGCCAAGCCCATGTTTTGTTTGCCTTTGATGGCCCCTGCCATGCCCAGGAGCAGGCTCTTGTTCTCTTTCTGGATCCTGCTCTTCATCTTGTACAGCTGCCATGGAAGTGTAGGGTGCACTTACAGTTGTTTCTTCTGTCCTCTCTATTTGTGCTGCTCGGAAAGGTGAAAAACCCGGAGGCCTTCGCATCAGTGTCATCTAAACAGAAGATATTAAAGGGAACGCATTATTGCAAAAAGCACACTAACCAAGGAAGAAAGAAGACATGCTGTGCTCCCCTTGTTTATGCTAGGGCAGGTCTTTGCCCAATCATAAACACAACATTCACCTTTCAGAAAAGATGAGTAATATTTTATCCTCTTGTAATTGTTCTTAAAATTCGTGGACATCGGTCGTTGTTCTTTTTTGTACTGGGAATGAACTCAGGACCTCAGGCTTGCAAGGCAGGCACTGTGCCCTGAACTATATCCCAGTTGATCATTGTTCTTAATCACATTCTAAAACAAGCCAGAGAGTTTTGTCTTCATCTGGGAAAATCAAGTGAACTGCCTGAACAGTACTGTATATAGCTCATAAGCCTAAGATTATGTAAGTCTGTGGCATACTATGTACTAATTGATACTATTTCTATTATCATTACCATCATTGCCTTAATCCTAAGAGGCCAACAATGTCCTTATGAGCAGAATGTATAGGGAGCTCGTACTTGTGACCGCTTTGTCGGGCTGAAACACGTTAAGACACATTGCTGAACTGGACACGCAGCCATTGTGTAATGTTGTATTAAATTCTCTACCTACGGGCAAGCACCTAAACCAGAAAAGGGGAGAAAAGACATCTAGTACTAACATTATGAATTTGTGAATTATTACCTGTGAGAACATAATGATCGGAAGACAGTGCACAGTGGCCAAGCAGTGTGGGCTCTGGAGCTGAGCCAGACTTTTCTAGTAACCTATATTAGGGTGAAGAAGCTGAGCTCTGATTTGAACTAGGTTTTCTTCAGAGCACTACTAGCCTCACTTTTCTGCAAAATAAGATTAATGGCAGTATCTCCCTCATCGAGTTCTAAGAAGGGTGCTTCATTTACTCTGAGATTTTGGAGTCTAACATCAGTGCCTTGTCTTTGACAGCGGAGAAAGCACTGCTTACCTCCCAGGTGTCTTTTAAGGCTTATAAAATTGGCAAAAGGAATGCTGTTCAGACCTGAACCAGTGTGACCTTGAGGATCTTTTTAAAATGCAGATTGTGGTTGGTGAATGCAGGCTGAGCCTTCCTTACAGAGCTCTGTGGTCGGAACCAGCATAGAGGAGAACTGTGTCTGCCCCGAGGCTCACCCTGATGGCCAGGGCAGTGGGCCAGCGCCTCCCAGCAGGCACTGCGGCTTGCCACCAGCCCACAGAAGTTCCAGGGATGCTGAGTGAATGCAAGTGGTCACCACAATCACTGCTTTCCTTTCTAGCCAAAAAAGAAGCAATCAGGGGCTTAGGCTGTTCTTAGGGGTATAGTACAGTTTCTCATGTGAGAGGCCCTGGGTTCAATCCTCACCACCATAACTTGTTTTAAAAATAAAATAGAGATCATCACAGAGACAGGAGAATTCTCCCCACTTTAAAAAGATAGTCCCTTCCCTCATTTCATTCAGTCACCTCCTCTTCCAGAGGAGCAGAACTGACCCCATCCTGACTGTAATGAGAGTCCTACCGTTCCAAGCTTCTCACAGTTGACCGTAGGGTAGATTTTTCTCTCCCAAGGTATCACATAGACATCGGCATTGCAAGTTAGACGTTGCTATTCATGAGAACAGGAGCCAAAAGAGAGACCAGAGTTACACTTGAAATGCTTTAACAACAGGACCTTAAAAATGTAAAAGAGGTTTACAGCAGAAAAAAAGAAGACCCTTGCGCCACTAGGCTACTCACCCCAGGACTTTTGGTCTCGCAGCTTTCGGTTAATTCCTCGTTGCTTTCTTTGGAACATGTGGTTTCGCTCGCCGTGAACTCGATAGAAAATCTCTTCCCAGCCACGATCTGGAACATTAATTAGCATAATGTAAGTGCTTAATAAATATTTGCATAACAAATTGTATTCTCTGTACTCTCATTTCTCTTCAGATTGTATAAATCTTTTGCCTTTGGAAAAAAAAATAGATTGTATTCTTTTACCCTAAGAAATGTTAAGGGAGACTCCTGATGGTTTAATGTGTACACTACTGACCAGCATGTAGTTTCAGCCCCTAAAAGTACAAACACTCAATACGAAAGGTTTCAGTTTATACTTATATTTAAAATATTTGGCTGTTGGTTGGCCCAATTTCCTTTTCTACATGGAAGAAAAGCAGGATCTAATTTTTCTGAATTGTACTGTTCAACAGCTGCAAAGGCGCTAGTAACTGTAATACAATCCAAGTTGTACTAGCATTGAAGAAATAGGAAGAGAAGCTTCAATGTTTCCCTTAAATACACCTTGTTTTCCTGCCAAATCTCGAATCAAGGACATACTGAGTTACCACTACAACAGAAATTGTGTGAGCCAGTGTGGGGGTGCACACCTATGATCCCCGCACTCTGGGGACTTAGGCAGGAGTTTGAGACCAGCCTGGACTATACAGTGAGTTCAAAGTCAGTATGAACTGCATAGTAAGACCCTGTCTCGAAAAAACAAAGCACAAAATAAAACCAAACCAAAAAAGCAATGGTGTGGATTAAATTATACAAGTAGGAAAACTATTTGGATTTTCTATCATC